CCAAAAGCGATGCCCTCTGCACCAGGAGGGTGCAGGGTTTGGCCCGGACCAGCAGCAGCCTTGGAAAAAAAAAAAACCCAAACCCTTCCCAGGGTGGGTTGGCCAGGGAGGGATGAAGGTGCCCGCGGGGTTCGGTGCCAAGTCAGGGCTCAACGCCCGGGCCCTCCTCCACCCCGGCACACATCCCAGCTCTGCTGCACCCAGGTCACCCCTGGCCAGATCCTGGCCACAAAAAATGCCAGTTTTGTTCCAATTTGGGCTTAAAAGGCATTTGGGGGAGCGGAGGCAAATGCTGGCGCAGAGAGATTTGGAAACAACCCTGCGTGGTCCGCGTGAGTCACCTGTGGAAACACCGGAGAACAGCGGAGAGCAAGGGTTGGAGCAGCTGGGGCGGTAAGCGGGGCGATAAGCGGGGACAAACGCCAGCAAACACTGGGGAAACGGGCTGGCAGCGTGCCAAAGCCCGCGCCCCGATAAGGTCCTGGTGTGAAGCCGGCAGCCGCCTTACCCTGATAAGGTGCCAAGGGGGAAATGGCATGTCCCACTGCCCTGCCCCAACACCTGCGGGGGACAGAGACGGGCGCAGAGGCACCCCAAAGCTTGGCGGCGCCAGCCGGGTTCTGCCCATCACCCAGGGGCTATGGAGGATGAGGGAAGGGGGGGGGCAAGAAGCCCCACAACAGCTGCTAACTCCAAAACGGTGTGAAAACATCAGGTCTTTGCCTCCAGTGCCGAGGAACAGAGGTTCGGTGGCCCTCATCCTCCACGTCACACGCAGGCAACCCCATCCACAGCACTTGGGCACGTGGGTCTGACTTCCAGTAAGCGTGTACAGGCAACCGAAATTGGTCACGTCTCCAGTAAAACCCCCTTCCACGGGGTCCTGAACCGGGCCGTGGCTGGGGCTGCCCACTCCAGCTGCATCCCCGAGCCCTGGGGACACCAAGCCGGCCGCAGCAGCGGCTTTAGGGACTAAGAGGATTGAGCCCGGGAGCGACTCGCAGGGAGACTTCGGTCAAGGGGAAAATCCCCGTCAGCAGGATGCTAGTCCCCCCCCGTGCAGCCGGGCCCCACCAGCCCCTCTGCTGCGCAGCACCGTGGGGGCTCCTGGGGCACCCCACAGGCAACGTCTGCCCTCCTCCCCGGGCCTGCCAGGGTTATGGGGAGGGGGGTTTTACCCTAGGTTCTCTCCTCCCATTACGGTTGGACTCAATCTTAAAGGTTTTTTCAACCTAAATGATTCTCTTCTATGATTCTATTACGGCAGCCCCGGAGCTCCCTGCCAGGGCCCGACCCTGCGGCGCTGGGTGCACCCTGCATCTGGGCAAGGGCTAAACCACAGCTCGACT